CAAAGACTACTTTAATAAAATAATAAAAATAATACATAAGTAATATGTATATAATAATAATATTCTATTCTATTGTTTATTCTATATTATCAAAGTTCATATCATACTGTAACCTGTTTTATTTGTTTGTTTTAATTCTTCGAATTTACTATTAAAAATAGCCTCATTTTATACTCCTTTTATTACTAGTATTATTATTACTGTTATTATTATTATTATTAGTAGTAGTAGTATTACTGTTAACATTAGTAGTAAACTTAGTATTCGTAATTGTAGTAAAATCATGAATATTGATATTATTATTATTATTATTATTATTATCATTATGGACTAATCTTTACTTTCAATACAATATAACTGAACATAGATCAGTGATATTTTATGATAAATTCCCTATTTAATTTTCATACCCAATTAAGTTTTTAGTTGATTATATCTATACTACTATTACTACTACTACTATTATTATTATTATTACTATATCACTGATGTGATTAAAAAACTAATTAATTTGATCATATGTAATACAATAAAGGGTATTATTATTATTATTTATGTCATTACTGTATTCATAATTCATACATAGATTGAAGGAAATAAAACATTATAAAAGTTTGAGAACATTTAATTATTATGTTAATAATAATTATAATTATTGTAATCTATAACTTAGATCAATTAAATATACAAATTCCCAAGTGTATTTACTATTATCATTATTATATGTACGTATATGGTTGTATCTAAATAAAGGATATTGATTAATGGATATCGAATGGGATAACACATTGTTCAGTTATGTATTTGAATACTTCCCTTTTTTTTCTCGTTTTTTTTTAATGGAAAAGCTTTTACGTAAAATTTTCGGTGTTTAAGAAATATAGTCTTGAGTCAAATTCCCTAGTTTATAGCAGTCAACTAACAAATGAACGGGAGAATGATTGAAAGTGTTAAGTACAGCAAGCTGATTAGGGATTGAAAACGTTGTAGATAATGTTGACCCATTCTTAATTTTTAAATAAATATCTTTAACGGTGAGACTATAATTTATGGACGACCTTTGAGCAACACCTTAGTGACCCGGAGAGTGTCCACCTACTGACTAAGATTAAATGAGGATTTGGAACCAGTGTGAAGGATAAGGATTGTGATTTACAGTTGATGGTTAGGAATTAGATTTAGGGTTTTCATCACGAACTGACATCAGTTATGATGCCAAAACTCCATTTAGCCAAATGAATGAATGAATTTCGCGCCAAAATCCAAGACCTGTTATCTAATTGGTTCGTCCATAAATTATAGCCTCGCCGGAATAGCAGAACTCATTTTTATCAAAATCATCCACTTGAGCTATAAATCTAACATTCCCTCTAAAATAAGGTAGTAGAAATTAGTGAATATTTTGATGAAGTTTTCATACTGATATTCGACCTTCCTACATACAATCCATAACCGGCTACTGGGAGCTGACAAGGAAGTTTACTAGGTATAACCAATCGATTATGTACGTGCAATCTTTTTCATGTATATATGCCTGTTCCTTAGAAAATTAAGTCACCAATGTGCAGATATGAATATTCATTTAATCATATCTACATTTATTTATTAATATCCAATCTTGTTGAAGGGTTGATGAAATAATATTGACGAACAGCAATTTCATGATCTGACTCTTATCTCCGAAGATTCATATGGACACTTCAACATTCTATAAATAGGAAATTATGACATTCTCTTAAGAATTTATCAGCAGACGTTTGATGATTAACATTCTTTTTTTTACATATCCACTATGAATTTTATATCACTGTCTCTGTCCTGATTAGTTAATTACGGTGAAATGGTCTGTTTATTGATAATGATGAATAAATTTCTATGGATATTTCTGATGCAAACATGAGAAATTTCAACTCGTTTCACTGAAGAATAAATAACATTACCTAAGCTGCAAATCTATCTTGTTGAAATGATACCGACTACTTTCATCGTTCTTCTGAACGAGATTATCAGCACAAACTTTACTTCTGCCTGAAGTTTGTACTGATGATGTCGTTCAGAAGAACGATGAAAGTAGTCGGCTCTACGAACAAATAATCCAACCCAGAGAACAAGACCTCATCAGAATTATCCACCTGAGCTACAAATCTTCTCCGCCATCTCGATACTGACTACTATTGGGTTTTTAAGATTTGTTTCTGTGATCGTAATTTGTTGTTAATAAACTAAGTTAAAATGTATACACATATACTTCCGATTACTTTCAAACAGTTGTATTTTATTATATCAATTATCTGATTGTTCTAAATAGCTTTTCCGGTCGGAATATAAGTTTGACATCGTTTAAACGGGTGCTTTACCGAAATAAGCGTATATATATGCACTAAGTATATAAATACTGATTAAATTATAAATGCTTATTGACATCAAAGTATATTTTAGCGCTTTAATGTAATGCCTAGCTCACCGTATCAGGGTAGTGCATTTAGAAAAAGTAAAATGTTATGGTGTACACAAGATTGTTTCTTTTTAATAGCTTATCTACTTTTGTTATCCTTTGCATGTAGAAAGCTCATATAAATCTGTATAACTCATTGACTGAAAACAAATGAAGATTCAATCTTAAGTCATTGCAATCTCACAAACTTAGCTAAAGAGAATAAAAGTGAACAATATCAAAAATGAAAGTGTTTAAATAATAGTAGCTATGGAATTTATTAATCACAGTGGAAACTAAACATTTAAAATGTAATTTCAATGGTTGAGATCATTGGTCAGTTTAAGCTAGACCACCATGGGAAACATGAAAGCACTGGACGGCCGTTTTGTCCTATTGTGGGGTTCCTCAGCAGTGTGCATTCACTATCTCGCCCCCCTGCGAGATTCGAACCTAGGACCTATCAGTCTCGTGCGCATATCGTGGATGAGGACTGCTGAGGAGTCCCACGATAAGAGGAAACGGTCGTCCACTGCTTCCAGGTTTCCAACGGTGTTCTAATATCAATCGGTTCATGATCTCAATTAAATGGAAATTCTCTGTCAATATCGTGAATGGATTTATTGTTTGTTAGTCATAGATCAAAATGATTGCTTTAGTCAATAAAGTTCGACTGGATGACTAAGAAATTCATGGTTGATCACCATATCATGAAAGTGGATATACTCAGTCTTTCTAATTGTACTTTTTGGTACCTATTATCATACTACTTAATTCAGATTGCATGTGTATTCTTTTCTTATTCATGTTTGTTATTTATTGTTATTTAACACTTCAACCCATAATTATTTGTTGTCAGTGTGATATATTTTTAAAAATTACATGTTGTTATTTGATATTGTGCTTTTTTTTTGTTATCCCTTTTGTATATTTAAGATGTAAGTATCTGTTTGCATGAAAGTGTAATTGATATGATCATTCAGCTTTTCAAATTTCCATATATTGTAAACACTGAAGAGAAAATACATTTTTTATGACCTTTCAGGTTTCCCATAGTGGTCTAGCTTGATTGACTCACGATCTCAACTTGAAATTACTACAATCTCCACAAAACCACTTCTGACACTTATTAATCTTTGCTGCATCATGATATACATATTCATCTTTAATCATCTATATATTTATAAGTACATCAATATCTAAATTCATTTTTCTGTTGGTTGTTTGAATCTTCCCATTGATGTTTAGGACTGCAATTGACCAGTAACTTATGAGTATATGTGCATCTTGTACTGACTGCCTCAATATAGCCTTTAGTCATAACCATTATAAGTGAAGATGGATGGTTGAAAAGTAATGGAATCTGAGACACGCGTTTCGTCAGTCAGTAATCTTTAGTGTTGTTGGAAGTATGAGGTCGGTTATCACTTCCAGGCTGCATACATTGTGGGAAGGTTCTTCTGAGGGTACCTGAGAAAGGAAATCGGGTTACGGGTGGTCATAATGACCTGAGAGTTTAACCGCAGTGCCCAAGAGATAACTGCTTGAGGTCGGTCACACACAACTTTTTGTGAGTGATTTTCATGTTAGCTCCGTACTTGTTGAGACCTTACCACCGGAGACGGAAATCCGTGGGATAAGGCGAGGTGTGCATTTTAAGGTCGATCTTTTCTAACCAAACCCTTTCTTTGTAGAAAGGCAGCATCGGTGCTATGCTGGTTGTCTGAAGGAAACACATTACTGCCGTCACACCTCTGCACAGTCAGCAGTACGACTTCGTCTTCGGACCTTGAGCTTGTTGCTTTTAGTCTTACCGCTCTTCAATCAATTTGTCTGGCATGATAGGACCTTGAGTAACGAATGTTTCACAACATGAAAATTTTATCGTATTAAAAATGTTCTTTTACAACATTTTAAATTTTGTTAAGTTAATAAGTTTTCAAACGAAAACCCTTCTTCTATACTATTTCTTTCTTTCGTCTTGTTTTAATCAAAAACTATATTGTTGGTTTGATTTTCAAACAATCTATTCTCTTTAATAAATGGTTAATTTCATAAATTCCATATTTATTAACTTGCATGGACATAGTTGAATTAATTTGTTTTGTTTATTCAGTTTATCGTTTTTTCAGATTGAGGGATTTTGTGGAGAGTGTAGTAATTTGACAGTTGAATTAATGAACCAATTAAAGCTAGACCACCGTGGAAAACCTGAAAACACTGGACGGCTGTTTCGTCCTATTGTGAGACTCCTCAGTAGTGCGTATCCACGATCTCACACAAGGGATTCGAATTTAGGACCTTTAATCTCGCGCGCGAACACTTAACCGCTAGACCACTAAGCCGGCATCCAATGGTCTTAATGTCTAACTTCAATCGATCCAGATTTTCCATGACGATCTAGCTTTAATCAACTCATGAACTCAACTATAATTCATTTATTCAAATTGCATGTCAGTTATACCGGTCACTTTGTTGATTAATTTATTTGTAAAATATAAACTCATTTAAATTTATAAGCAGTACATTCTCAAACTCTTATCTTATTGACTTCTTTTTTTTCCAGGAGCAAACAACTGAACAAACACCTAGAAAAGAAGATGTAAGTTGTCGTGGCTCATTGCCGACGTATTTTGTTGAGTGTATTCTATTTTCATTTTAATATGGATCGTTCTTTTTTAAAGTAATCTCAGTCAGTTAATAACAACGTAGAACTTCGTACGTACGTACGTACGTACATCAGTTTGAGTTGCATTGGCTTCATATATAATGACAATAAATTTATCATTCAATGATAGCCAGTTTTATGTACATATTTAGCTTTCAAATGTCTGAACAGATTGTATTGATAAAGTTGAATTTTGTGATTTCTAGGTCTATATGTCTTTATATTATGTGTATTGCTTCCTGAAAATAGAATTCATCGTAAGTTTAGTTGTTAGATTAAACGAACTGAACAATGTCTGCTGCAGTTATAAATTCACAGAAGTATGTAATCTTCCTAAAACTTTATAATAATCAGATATCCTAATAGTTTTAGGGGGAGCCTTGACTTTAAGGACTATAATTGATTATCATCTGTTGGCAATCTAGCTACCAAGTCCTAAATAAGATGAAGCACGCTTCCTCGTTTCCGCTGACATTCAAAATCTAAATATACCAAGTACTTGTAACTGGTTAGTGTTTTCCTGACAAAGTTCTTTTTTGTGGGATTAGGTTGTTAACGTTATAATCTTCTAACCGGGCTTGAAGCCTGCAGTAACCGTGGAAGGTCTCTAGGCAGAGTCAAAGAAAAAAGAGTCGAAAACAAAGTTCGTTGGAGAATGCTAGTTAACATCCCATGTTTCACGAGAGGCAACAGATGTAAGTAGGTAACTTGCAACGGAAGTACGATATCGAGGAATTTTGCTCATGTCAACAGTAAATGATTGATTTGTCATGAATTTTACTCCTGTCAATTATCACGTGACAAAGTCGGCAATCAGTATATCGATCTATATGACCTTGTTCTTATGATAAACGAATGACACATCAACAAGCACTAGAAGCCCTATGTCAACTCTGAATCTTTACTGATCCTTCTCGCCTAGCTCTGCTTGTTAAGTGCAGAACACAATCTCAGCCTCCACTGTATTAATAACATATTTCAGACATGCGTAGTTTATATACAGACAAACCAGACCGCATTACGCCATAAAATAAAAGATAACAACTATACAAGATCAGTCCAAAAGTGGCTATGAGTATGAGAGATTGTAACTAATACATCGGGAATATATATAATCTAGTTACTTAATAAATATCCAATAAGAATATATTGGTAATAGTCTATAAATAATAATGTCTAGACATTAACACCGTTGGATGCCTGTTAAGCGTTCATGCTCGAAACCGAAGTTTCTGAGTTCGAGCCCAGCGTGCGGGATCGTGGATGTGTGCCTCTTAGCAGTCCCCTACTGGGAAGAAACACTCGTCCAGTGCTTCCAGGTTTTCATGGTATTCTAGCTTAGATCAACTCATGAATCTAATTGTTAAATGACTACAATCTCCATTCAGATAATTTCATTTTAAAATTTACTCTGATTAGTTATATGAATTATATTTGACAATTTCATGTATTGTTGGTTTGTTTTTGTCTTTAATGTATATAAAATTTCTCTTAAGATAGTTCGATGGAAATTAGAATTAGAAATGTAACACATATGTTAATCCGGATTCAGTAATATGAACTAGTGCTACCTTATTCATTCAATATAAGTATTGTTATTTTACTTCTCTTCCATCATAAGATTATGATCTTTTATATCATTAGATCTCATCTATTAGTTTTTATTGAATAAATGTAATAGATCATAGGTAATCATATGCTGTCTTACTGACAGGAATCTTCTATAGAAGATTCTAATGTATTAGTGATTTGATAAATAATTTGTCAATGTACATTCAAGATTTAACATGAGACCGAAAACAAGATTTTAAACAACTGAATTTGATGAGTTTTATGTTCAAATCTTCTCAATTATTTAATCATTATTCAATAACACCAATTGTTTTAATCCCATAATTAACATGATTGGATCTTATCAATACTTTAGTAGAACTTTAACTAGCCCAGGATCTGACTTTAGTCAGATCGTTTCTGATTGCTAATGAGTTATGCATGTCACCAATCCTCGTATATAATTATCGACTTAAATCGCGTTAGTGAATAACGAAATCAAGTAGTAAGTCAAGTGCGAGAATGGATGTTTGAATACGTATATTTTGTACAATCATTGATCTGAACAGACAATCAGAGGGACAAAGCGAAGGAAGCGAATAGAAGAGAGTGAAGCGAGACAACACACAGTGGAGCCCACTCCATTTAATCAAGCGTTAATCCGTATTTATAGTCGCACAAAAATCAGCTACAGATATGTGATGAATAGGATATAAAAACAGTCAAGGTTGATAAGTGAATAATTAACAAGGTCAAAACATGACTCAAGAAGAATGGATATATTGACCTATCCAGAAGCTAGACTAAGTTATTTGGGCTTAACATAGTAATCGACACTATAAGATCACGTACAGTTTGTTCAAAAAGTAATATTTCACTTTATTACAACAATACGTGTTTTTAATCCTCAACGTGTGCTTCAATTGATATTCAGAAAATGTATAATTCTAATCAGTTCAAATGACACAATCAAAAGAGGTACGAATCGGCATGTGAGCTATTACAACTGTAGTGTAATTTGAAACAATGTTGTTGTAGTTGATGTGAATCATAGAAATTCAGTAGAAACTTGTGTGAAATTAAAATCACAGTAAACAACAAATAATAACCGTCTCATCTACAATCCAACGATCATCGGAATGTACATCTGAAGGGATCGAGAAGAACTTCATATCTTCATATAAAGCAAAACGTCACAATACATGATTATGTACGTGGACACACGACGACAATCAAAACTCCTCAATGAAATCATATACCCTAGATCATTCAACAATGCCTAAACCATTCATCTAAGCTACAGATCTTCCTTCATTATAATCAATATATTACCATTTTTAATTTCAATTAAAATTATTTTAATCGATCCACATTCAATATTTAAATGTTCCCCTTTTCGCATTCCTTTTTTATTGTATTATGATTGGAAGCGTGTTATTTATTTGTTTAAATGTCTGCGTCACGTATTCTTTTTTGTTCCACTTACCCATGAAACTGTTCATTCATTCTAATATGAAATTTAGTAACTATCATAGTAACAAACATTGACAACTATTAATATTATATTGTTATCAGCAAGGGGTTTTTATGGATATTATATTAATTTAATAGTTGAAACTAGACCATCATGTAAAACCTACAAGCACTGAACAACCGTTTCGTCCCAGCATGAGACTCTACAGCGGTGCTCATCCACGCCCCCGCCCTGCAGGATTCGAACCCATGACCTGTAGGTCGTTCGCGCGAACACTTAACCTCTAGACCACTGAGCCGGCATCCAACGGTGTCAATGTCTAACTTCAACCAATCCACACGTCCACCATTGTCTTCGGTGAGTTACTATCTCACAACTGACTCGGTTGAACATCACTGGTCACTGTTTCTCACTAGAACTCCAGGAAAACAAATATTCATAACTGTTGAATATTATATTGTTCATTAGGATATTTTGCATAAAATATTTCAATGTATTTTATTGAAATACGACGAGAGAGAAAAAGAGAAAGAAAAAAACGCGACCGGAAAGAGAAAACAATTTTATTTTAGAGAAAAAAAGGAAGGGACTGTATTTAATGGGCATACCATCAGTGGATAATACGAATACTGTTACCTTTTTTAATTTAGGAAATCTCATTATGAGTTTGTCATATCCGTTAATTAAATTGCATATTTTGTTATTTAACACAGTTTTAACCGACATAACACTTCACTTGTCTGTTACTTAAACAATGTCTATAATGAATTACTTATGAGAGCTTGATACTCTTATATAGATGTTGATATTCAGGAATATTTAGGTTTTGTTTATTTATTCGTTAATTCCTCAAAAGTGGCTTTAGTTACAAGTTGTTGTTCATTTTGCTATAGTCAGTAGGAAAAGAATCCGAAGCGTATGTTTCATCTTAATTTGGATTGATCGATTGTATTTTGAAATGCTCAGCCATTGCAATCACTAAAATGTAACAAACCTGAAACTAAACCTTGAGACACTGGACTATCATTTTTTCTTAGTACGGAACTCCTCGGTACTACATCTCCAAGATTCCTCAGAGATAGTTGAAGGAAAACCCTAGACCTAGGCTTCATACAGTTTGATATTCGTCAGCATGGTGTACGTGTAATCTTGAGGGAATTAATGTTTTCTGGGGATTCTATCCCGTGTCATCCAGCTTCGTAGTCAGAGACGTTACCGCTGAGTTATTCGGGTAGTGGCTGATCTTCTGTAGGACTAAGTTATGACCATTGTCATGTATGCCAAATTCTTCCTAATACTGATCGAGTTCTATCAATCAAACTGTAGTACTGTTTTTAATGACTCAACATAGCGTGGCCTTTGTTAAGGTGTAAGGTGTTCGATCGATAGAATTCAATTAGTACCAACAAGGACTTGAAATGCATTATGTTGGTCACTACTTAATCATCAATCAACTGTGAATATATATATATATATATAATTGAAAGATTTAGATTTTCAACAATTAAAGGGTAAATTACAAGCAAAGATGGATAGTGGCCAGCAATTGAATCCAGAACGCACGTTTCGTCTTATTTGGGACTCATCAGCTGGATGTACCTGCATCTCAAAGTTGATGTTCATTCTGGGTCTTGTTGCATATGTATGTGTGCTTTTTTTCTTTGAATAATTTCATAGTTATTTCATTTATAGTTTGATTAATTCTTCTGTAATTTTCTTTATATTAATTTTTATGAATCATTTTATTCTATTTTTTTTTGTATCATCAAGGAGGAAGCAGACGTTAAGAAACCTCAAAATTCAGGTTATATTTCTCAAATTGTTTTAATATTTTGTTTCTAGATGTCAGTTATTATATAATAGTTTGTTTTTCATATTGAATTTGTCCAACAATTAATATTATTAATTCATTTGATATTGTTTGTTTGAATCTTCCCATCGACGTTTAGGACTGCAATTAATCAGTCTCTTATTGGCATATGTGCATATTGTGCGTAATGCCTCGCTATTGCCTTAAGTCACAAGCATTATAATCTGTGACAGATGGTGGCTAGCAGTGGAATCTAGGACACGCGTTTTGTCCTAGTATAGAACTCCTTAGCAGCGCACAATATTTGATAAAATAAATGAAATCTTATTTGATTGTTATGTAAATCAAATATGGAACTGTTAATTCATCATTGAGTAATTGTCAACAACATATTGTCTAATCCTTAATACTAATGGAATTTTAATCCAGAAATGCCAATATATGCACTAATTTAATTGATTCAGCATTGTGTGCTACGGATGTCGACAGATATATGTAGTATCTATCATCAGTCGAAAGTGGATGCCTGGCAGCAGAATGTTCAGAAGATAGAAAAAAGAGAACGGGGACAGAGAGTGATTAATATGAAAATAAAGGAACAACAAAGTTTAAGACAATTGATGGATATTTTGCAAATTAGTTATTTACAGTATGGTTCTCATATTTTACTAAGAGATTCTGTAAATTTGGTTGTCCCTACCTGTGTTCTCGTTCACCACAATTCTTCATTCAAGTACGTTTTTGTTCGCTAACTTATTATGACAAAAAAGGATGGCCTCTTTGACATACATAACAGTTGAGCTATTCTAGCCGCAGCTAACTATGTTCTCGCTTATACTAACAGGTTTCAACCAACAAGAGATCTATTGATTGTTTCTAATCGATCATATCATAAATAAAGTTTCAACCAATGTCTAGTCACCTAGACTAGTGGTTACAATGCGATTTGTTCTATTAAACTCTATTCAATACTATAAGACTAGGATAACATGATATTGGTGATTATTCAGTGATCATTTTGTATAAACTTTCATTTCTATATGTCATTCACGATTATAGTGGTTCAATTACAGTTTAATTAATTGTACCTTGATTTGAATACTACAGAAACCATTAGTTCCTTCAAGATTATATATTATTATCATTACTACCTTTCGATCGTTGAGATCATGAGTCAATTGAAGCTAGACCACCATGTAAAACCTTGAAGCACTGGACGGCTTTTTCGTCCTATTGTAGGACTCAGTAGTTTCCATCCACAATCCCGCCTCGCGGAATTCGAACCCAGGACTTATCGGTCTTGCGCACGAACGCCTCACGTCTAGACCACCGAGCCGGCATCCAACGACGTTAAGATGTATATCCTGGATTTCTAGTGGGAAGCAGTGACCAGTGGAGTTCACCCGGGTCAGTTGTGAGATAGTAACTCACTGGTGACAATGGTGGATGTGTTGCTCAATTTCGTGTATTAGTTGAAGTTAGACATCAGCACCTCTGGATGTCGGCTCAGTGGTCTAGAGGTTAAGTGCTCGCGCGCGAGACCGATATGTCCTGGGTTCAAATCCCGCGAGGCGGGATCGTGAACGCGCACTGTTGAGGAGTCCCACAATAGAACGAAACGGCCGTCCAGTGCTTCCAGGTTTTACACGGTTGTCTAGTTTCAATTGACCCGTGATTTCAATAATTGATATTAATAAAATCTCCACAAAATCCCCCGAATGCTTTGGTATAGCCGAGAGTGGGGTGGGCCCGGCCTCCCTCTCGAAATGATCTCACACGGCCACGCGTATACAGCCTCTACCAGGGAAGTACTACTCACTGCCTTCTCGTGGCGGGGGTGTTGTCTACGAAAATGAGAGGACGAAAAGCGAATGCCCGGCGCTTTAACCGGATCCCAAACCAATGGTGCACATGGGCTCCAGTATCCTGCGGGAACAAATGGCGTATGAACCAATCGTTGGTCAATGGTTACCATGGGACTGCATCTCCTTACGATGCTCCACTGCCTTGTGGGTTAGACCTTTAGGTCAAAGGCTCGGGGTGTGGCCCCCTAAGATAACCACCTGCTTCGGTCTGGGCACCCGAGAAGTATCACAGCCCACACACGAATGATGAACTGCCTATGATTATGGAAACTACTTTACTTGCTTCAACTAACAATCAAATGATTCAAATTATTATTATTATTATTATTATTATTATTATTATTATTATTATTATTATTATTATTATTATTTACTACATCATTATTCACCCTCTTTTATTCCTACTCTGTCTATACTTATTTTTTCGACTAATACAGCAGCTCGTCTATGGTGGAAATTCGACTGTATCTAAACGTTCTCGAGTCACTGTCGGGTTGAAAATTGTATGTTACCACCAAATATGAGTACTGAAGCAGTTTTTCTGAAACCACGTGCACCATTCAAACTGGCTGCCTTCAACGTCCGCATACTTATGGAGGTTAGACAACAGATGGGGCTGGCTATGTCTTTAGAAAGTCTTAATATCGATGTTTGCTGTCTATTCGAGACACGTATTCAAGACTCTGGCGAAGTACTACAAATTCGCTCTCCATGTGTCGCTTCCAAAAGTTTGTTTTACGTTCGCTTATCCAGGAACCCAGTGGCATCTTCGTCTGGTCTTGCTGGCGTTGGTGTCGCACTATGCACTAGAGCTGAGGCAGCACTAATCGATTGGATTCCCATTAACAGTCGGTTATGCGCTGTTAGATGAGAGAGTTCCATCAAAGTGAGGAGAAATCGGTGTGAGAAACGATGACTTTTCGTCATCTCCTCCTACGCCCCGACAGATTACAGCCCGGATGCAATCAAGGATGAGTTTTACCACCAGTTATCTGTTCTTCTCCAGAAAGTGCGTTCGACAGGTACAAAAGAGAGTCGTTTAGGTGGCCGATGGGGACTTGTTGGTCGCAGGTCAGATAACGGGGACCGTCTACTGCAACTGTGCACAGACCACAACCTGTTTCTGGCTAGCACTAACTTTCGGCACAGTCATCGCCGATGTGCCACCTGGCGTCCTCCCTCTGCATCTCAAGCCTGGACTCAGATTGATCACATCGCGATCAGCTACCGCTGGCGTGGTTGTGTACAAGACTGCCGCTCCTTTTGGAGTACCTATCTGGACTCTGACCATGCCTTGGTCTGCGCCAATCTTGCCTTACTTTTCAGTGGACAACGAAGTGACCGCCACCAACGGATTGATGTTAGCAAGCTGGTTGCAACTTCTGTTGCAAGTAAGTATCGAACCGAGCTAGCCTCTAGGCTAGCTACCACTCCACCGAAAAGTATAGATGAGCATTGGTTGCAATTGCATGACGCCATGAAAATGGCGGGAACAGTCAGTTGTGGGTTTGCGAAACGTCCCGCTTTAAGCACTGGGTTTCTTCTGGTTCCTTACAACTCATTGAAGCCCGTCGGTCTACTCCGGGTGACCGTGAGTTTGACCATAAACGAAGGATGTTACGTAAGGAAATTGGGCAAAGCTTGCGTAAGGACCGAGAAGCCTGGTGGTCGAAGCGTGCTAATGAGCTGGAAGCAGCAGCTGCATCTGGTAACTACCGGAAGCTCTTCCAACTCATCCGAGCCACTGGCAGCAAGAAGTCTGGTGTGAGTGAAACAATCTGCGAGGATGATGGGATGCCAATCACTAACATCCATCGACGTCTTGGACGATGGGCAGAATTTTTCGAAGGGCAGTTCAACTGGCCTGCTGCTCCGGCAACATCGGTCAGACTGTCCTGCCCTCCATGGCCGGTGACGACTGATCCACCAAATGAGGAGGAAGTCCGCAAGGAACTCCAACTCTTGAAGCGTTACAAATCACCTGGCCCAGATGACTTACCTCCGGCTCTTTTTAAAGATGGTGGTGACTTTTTGACTAAGGAATTGACGACGTTGTTTACAAAGGTTTGGGAACTAGAGAGTGTACCAACGTCATGGAATGAGTCGATAGTTGTCCCTATCTTTAAAAAGGGTTCACGTCGTTCCTGTAACAACTATCGGGGGATAAGTCTACTTCCGATTGCGTCCAAGCTATTGGCTTCCGTCATACTTCGTAGGTTGTTCAAAACCCGAGAAAGATTGACTCGCGAGGAGCAGGCTGGGTTTCGTTCTGGTCGAGGATGTATTGATCATATCTTCACCCTCCGCCAAATGTTAGAACACCGCCATACTTATCAAAGGCCAACAATCGTAGTGTTTCTTGACATCAGGGCTGCCTTCGATTCGTTGGACAGGACTGTTCTCTGGGATTGTCTATTGAAGAAGGGTGTGCCTGAGAAGTTTATTAACATCCTAAAAGCCCTATATAAAAACACCTCAGGCAGAGTGAGGGCATACAACCACCTCTCTCCATTGTTCCATTCGAGCAGTGGGGTTAGGCAGGGTTGCCCAATCTCACCATTCCTCTTCAACTTTGCCATCGATGACATTCTGGAAACAGCTCTGATGAATGTAAGTAATGGTGGTGTGGATCTGTTGCCTGGAGAAAGACTTCTCGACCTTGAGTATGCGGACGATATTGTCTTACTGTGCGATAATGCCCAAGGCATGCAATCCGCACTTAATCAGTTGGCAATCAGTGTCCGTAGGTATGGTATGTGCTTTGCACCTTCGAAGTGCAAAGTACTTCTACAAGACTGGCAGGATTCTAATCCTGTACTCACCCTGGATGGTGAGCAGATAGACGTAGTCGAGAAGTTCGTGTATCTGGGTAGCTGCATAAGTGCTGGTGGGGGTGTGAGTGATGAGATCAATGCACGTATAGTGAAAGCCAGAGCGGCTTATGCCAATCTGGGCCACCTTTGGCGCCTTCGTGATGTTAGTCTGGCTGTAAAAGGTCGGATCTACAACGCGTCGGTGAGAGCAGTTTTGCTCTATGCTTGTGAAACCTGGCCTCTCCGAGTTGAGGACGTTAGACGACTCTCTGTGTTCGATCATCGCTGTCTCCGAAGGATTGCTGACATTCAGTGGCAACACCATGTCAGTAATGCAGAGGTTCGGCATCGTGTGTTCGGGCACAGAGATGATAATCAATTGGTGTCACCATCTTGAAACACCGACTTCGGTGGCTTGGACATGTTCTACGAATGTCGTCCCAGAGAATTCCACGTCGTGCATTATTTGCCGACTCTGGGACTGGTTGGAAGAAGCGGAGAGGTGGTCAGTGCATGACATGGTGTCGTGGCATGAAAGAAAGCTGCAAAGGACTGGCTTGTGTTGGTCCTTCACGACTCCCTGGTTGGGGTCCGAGAGATGGTGCTACACAGTGGCTAGAGACGTTATCAGATATGGCTCAGAATAGAAGCCAGTGGCGATCCTGCTGTAACCTTCTTTTACTTTCTTCATAAAAAGTGGTTGTGTCTTCCTTAACTGAAAGATTTCTTCTGGTTGTACGTTTCCGTTTCCCCCTTTATTGCTATTATTACTACTATTACACTACCTTGCACTAATCTGTTCGTTATTGTTCTTTTTTTACACCCCTTACCTTCTTTTTTTCTCTTCGAATTCTCATTGTTTCGTGTGGCGCATATATATTTCGTGCTCTCTTGTACCAATATTTATGTGTTCAAATATATAAATAATAAATCTGATAATTATTAACTTTATTTAGTATTACATTTTTGGTACAATATAGAATTCTCAGCACAAAGTACTTCAAAAAGATTCTTTTGCCTATTTTTGACGACAAATAATGAGTAATCGCCAATTAGATTTTGGCAGTTCAGGAATCGACATCTGAACAATGTATATTCTTTTCGATGTGCGCATCCACGATCCTGCCCTGAGGGATTTGAACTCAGAACTGGCTGAATATTTGGGTGTGAGTTCGCAACGTAAGGTCTGGGATTATTTGAAAATGTGAAGTTAGCAACTCGCTGGAAAAATAGTCAAACGCCGTCATGCTTAGGCTGCATTCAGGATGAAACGGCCTCCCAGTGCTTCCAGGTTTTCCATGGTTGTCTAGCTTCAATTAACTCATGATTTCAACTAATGAAATTACTACAGTCTCCACAAACCCCCTTCTGATTCTATTTTCTGACTTAAACTATCCAATTTTTACTTATCATTTTAGATAATGAAGGCTAATTTAGATTATGCACAGTGAATAAATGAATGAATGGATGGATGAATGGATTAATGTGAAACTTCATAGTAGCTATTTATCTTATTTAGTTTTTATTATTTTTTACTCTACCTCATATGAACATTTTCTGATGTTTTGCACAATTTCTAATTTATGTACATGTTTAATCTATTTTTGTGTTGTTGTTGTTGTTCTATACAATGAATAAACTAGTGTTACTCAATCATGTGACAATATTACTACTACTACTATTAAAATTAACAGTAGTATGTATTTCCTTAATTGATATCCGTTTTAGATATCATTTGATCAGATATATAAACATTACTTTTACTGTTGTTTCTTGGTTGGTTATGTTGAGTAGGTATCTTAGCATAAGTGTCATTATGTCATGGATTACATAACTTTATATTTGAATTCCATTTCTTTTTGTGCAACAGACAGAAATAATTACACTTAGTCGATGTAGTTTGTTCATTTTCATCATTTTACACTATATGATATGTTGTTGTTTACTTCATGCATATGTAGTAAAACGGTTGATTTTTTTATCGAGAATTTCGTTAATTGTTCATCGCTACATGTTTTTCTTTTCATTACGTTGTTCAGTAAATATATTTATGAAAATTCACATAAGTTTACTATTTTTTCAATGATGGTCTAACACCAATCGGTTCATGATCCCGATCAAAAACCTAATAATCTTCAGAACCCTTCTACTGGAACTTACCATGTACTCACTAGTGACTAGCTTCATGAGGGAATCCTTGGAGTTCTAGTGAGAAACCATGACCAGTGGAGCTAATCCGTGTCGGGTAGAGACAGGTATCTACTTCAGTACAATGGAAGATGGTCGCGCAATTTCGTGGATTGGTTGAGCTTAGACATTAACACCGTTGGATGTCGGTTCAATGACCCAGTAGGTTGAGCGTTCGCGAGCGAGACTGAAAGTCCTGGGTTCGAACACCACGAGCGGGATCATGGATGCGCACTGCTGAAGAGTCCCACAATAGGACGGAATGGCCTTCCAGTGCTTCCAGGTTTTCAATGGTGGCCTAATATCAATCGGTTCATGATCTCAATCAAAAACATAATAATCTCTACAACCCCTATACCGATGTATAGTAATAATAATAATAGTAATAATAATAGTAATAATAATATTAATAATGGTTTATTTGCCATCCATTAATAACATCAAGTCCGGTACAATTTTTTACCAACCTCTCTTTGTTATACTTTACGTCAGTAAAAGTGAGAGCTGAGAAAACTAGTACTTGCATAAATATATTCCAGTCTTGCAGAAGGTCAGTCGCTACCTAAAATGGCTCAGTGATAACGTCTTTGGTTGTGGAACTGGAAGACCCAAAATAGAATCTCCAGCAAACATCAGTCATCTTATTATTACATATCGACCATGCTGACAAGTGTCAAACAGCATGAAACCTTCTTCTAGAGTTTTCTGTCGACTACCGCGGAACACCATCTTACATCTGAATTGAATACTTGTACAACTTAAGGAAGACGATCAAATTATCATTAGATAAAAGTGTTACTCACTTTTTAGAAACACACAACACCTATAGTTTATGAGTCAGTCATAACAATAGAAAAGATTGCATAATAAGTGAAAAGTACAGATTGGTAGTGTGATGTCAGGTGTACTAGTTGTGATAAGAATAATAAAGGCTTGAATCAATGTTACATAATCAAAAATAGGTCAATGATTAAAAAAATATAGGCAGTGAGATAACATTTATAAAAATTACAAGATTACTTAATAAGAAGTCTAATATTTGAACGAAGAATATTCTTTTCGATAAGTTCTCTTCAGGTTCTACAATTATATATCCAAATGAATAATCCGAAAATGGCCAGGTTAAGGGTAAAGTACCAGTATAAACCAATGTTTTTCAATTATTTATAAGGTCAGTAAATTTTTGCCAAAGCTTGTCAGACTTAGAGAACTTCAAACGGCTGAAGCAGTAGCCATCTGGATGAAGAAACCGGAGCTATGTGTACAGAAGAAATATCTTCAACCACTCCTCCTCCCCTGGCCAACATCAAGGCCAATTAATCAATGGTAATCTTAGCTATTGAATGACCTATTTGACTACGACCTTTCGTAGTCAATTGTAATTGTCAGAAGGAGTTTGTGGAGATTTTAGAAATTTCACAGATTGAAATCATGAGTCAATTGAAGCTAGACAACCATGAAAAACTGGAAGCACTGGATGGCCGTTTCGTTCTATTGTAGGACTCCTCAGCAGTGCACATCTACGATCTCCACCCTGTGAGATTCGAACTCAGGACCTATTGGTCTCGAGCGAGAGAGTAAGGCCTGATGAGGATCTAATCGAAAACAATATTATTCGTTTATATCTATATTGTTCTAAATTTACAATATGGGAATTTTTTCAAAAATTTTTGATAATGTGTTTATTCATCAAATGAAATTTATCATTTCCTTTTATAATTTATTTGAATGATTTATTTAAATGATAACTATGTCATAAATTAATTATTTCATAAGTACATCGACAGATAGTTAGATGGTGAAATAGATAGAAAGATATGCACATATTTATATAGGAAGACAGATAGATCAAGAAAATAGATTATCTCATCATTCCAGAAAGTTCGAGGTTGAAATGATGAAAGCGAAAAGAAAATTTCTTCTCATTTTAACACATCTATTATTTCTTTATATATATATGTAATCAAATTAATTAATTAACTATTCAGTTCAAAATGTCCTCAAAGTTTATGGTATTTCTTTAGATACCAGTTCAACTTTAAGAAAGTTGTTAGTTCAATTTCAATGCATCGATAGAAAACTTTTTTTCTAGTCAATTTAGAAGTGTTGATAATTTAGGTCATCCCCCCATTTATCTCTCTCTCTCTCTTAAAGATCACTGATTTAATTCGATCGAATTATTAATTATCACTTAATAATATATCAGTCAGTCAGTAACAGCGTAGAACTTCATATGTACGTACGTACATCAGTTCGAGTTGCCACACCACATTAGCACAGAGATTCAGTTGTCGATTCAAATCCCGTAGTGGTAGAGGTAATAAGAGTATAAGTAGTAATCAGAAAAAATTAGAGTTTGAAGATGTTATTCAAAGAGTATAATTCAGTGAAACAAATTTGGAAAGAGAAAAAAAAGACAAGGAGGATCCAGGAGATTAGAATTTGGGAGAACACAAAGAGAGGATGCACCTGTGCCATTGCAAACGAGTTTGAGCCATTTCATTCAGGGTCTCTAACCATCAGTTGCTATCATCTCGCGGTCCCCAACCAGGTAGTCTACACCTACCAACATGGCTCAGTTCAGTTGTCAGTGACTTCATGGACTTGTGCCATGTTTTGGTCTGGCCGCCCCTAGATTCCTTCCAACCTACTCCTACACCATGAAACATCGCACGTCGAGGCAGTCGGTCGTTGGGCATACGTAACACGTGTCCCAGCCATCTCAACTGATGAAGTTTTACTACTTTATCAATTGATTTGCCATCCTTACCTAGAACCCGTTTCCTAACAACTGTGTTACTTACTCGATGGTCCCATGATATACGAGCAATATTTCGAAGACACCTATGATCAAATACTAGTAACCTACGAATATCCTCTACTCTTACCGGCCATGTTTCACTGCCATAAAGTAGGACGGAACGAACTGCTGCGCAGTAAAACTTAATAATATATACAAATATACCATCTAGTTATTAATTCTAAATAGATTGTAGCCCAATATCTGACTTCAGTGAGATTGTATAATTGATTGTTATTGAAATATACATCCTGACTATGCTCGTATATAAAGTTATTGACTTAAATTGCGTTATTAAGTAATGGAATTAAATAAGTCAACTACGCGAGTGGGTTACGAATACATATATTTTGTAAGATCATCGATCTGAACAGGCAATCAGAGGGACGAAGCGAAATGCTGTGCAGTGGAGACGGCATATATGCCGACGCTATTTAATCAAGCGTTAATCAGTATTATAGTCACATAAAAATAAGCTACAGATATGTGATGAATAGGATAAGAAGGGCACATACATACGCTCATATAAAAACAGCGTTGATAAGTGAATAATTAACAAGGTCAAAACATGACTCAAGAAGAACGGATATATTGGCCTATATAGAAGCTAGAATAAGTTATATGAGCTTAACATAGTAACCGACACTATAAGATCACGTATAGTTTGTTCAAAAAGTAATATTCCAATTTGTTACAACAATACGTGTTTTTAATCCTCAACATGTGATTCAATGGATAACCAGAACATGTATAATTCTAATCAGTTCAAATAACACAATCAAAAGACGTATAAATCAGCATGTGAGCTATTACAACTGTAGTGTCATTTGAAACAATGTTGTTGTAGTTGATGTGAATCATAGGAATTCAGTAGAAACTTGTATGAAATTAAAATCACAGTAAACAACAAATAATAACCGTCTCATCTACAATCCAACGATCATCGTAATGTACATCTGAAGGGATCGAGAAGAACTCCATATCTTCATATAAAACAAAACATCACAATACATGATTATGTACGTGGACACACACAAATTCAAACAATACTTTCAAAAAGAATCCTATCCGGACTCAGTAGCTAAGTGGATAACGCAATCGCCTGTGAAGTGAACGGTACTGGGTTCAAGTCCCAGAGTGAACATCAACTCTGAGATGCAGGCACATGCAGCTGACTAGTCCCAAATAGGACGAAACGCGCGCAAAACTGAATTCCGCTGCTAGCCACTATCCATCTTTACTTATAAATCTTGTGACTTCAGGCAATCCACACAAGATGCATATATATACCAACAAGAGACTGATCAGTTGTAGTCTTAAATAACAATGGGTAGATACAACTAAACCAACACCAAAAATGAATACATTTAAGGTTTTATGCATAGATTTATCATTTAGAAAAACACATTTATTTTTAAATGATATGCAAATCAACTTAGTATTAAATGTCTATCCTGATTGATTCATTAATTAATCATGACAATTCAAGTTATAATGAATACAACATAGTAACTAAAGATTGATATTTGAATTAAATAAAAGTGATAAAGATAAGAATAGATAAATAAACGTATTTTTTTGTATTAGAAAAACAAAAGAAACTACACATTTATTACATCAGTTATTCAGTTTGTTTTGAAAAACTCCACTTGTAGCTCTTCCAGAGTTACTGCCGATCTCAAGCCCCGGTAAAGGAGAAGGGTTGAGCATGTGATTAGCGACCCCATCCCGTAGAAAACGAACTCGCTAAAAAAACGCCAATCAGAAAAATTATAATTCAAACTATGATTTAGTTTGCTTTTAAATATTGAATTAATGGATGTCACCTAATTTGAACTATTGCGTTATGAAGAATAATGGTTTTATAGTTTCGTTTTTCTGTATTGTTAAACTATTGAATAGATTATTGATTAATAGGCAATCTATGTTAATATGGTATTAGTTAATTGATAACTGTTCGCAAGTTTAGATAATTGATGTGAATTTACAAATGAATTGATATTCAAAGATAAATATGATTGATAAGTAGAGTAGGGGTTGTTTTTATCATGAACACTACATTCCTATACGTAGTTTACA